TCCAAGAGACTCTTCAATTTGCTATAACAACTATTGATACCACATCCGTAGCTTAGAAGGGTATTTTTCCACATGCATTAAATTTTAGACATGAAAAGCACACTACACAGATAGTGGACTTGGGAGCTCTGGATCAAATGATTGAGAATCTTATGGTTTCACCTGAATATACTTTGTGCCATGAGAATTCCTCCATTTAAATTTCCAAGGAAACACTTTTTAGGGTAGTCAATACAGGTCTAATCATTGTATCCAAGAATATTACTTTCATTTTGTGCTTTATGTTCCAAGACTGGGTTGCAGTTGTTGTGCATAAGCAAAATAGTTGAGGATCTTAATTGTGTTATTAAATTATTTCTGCATATGGTAAATTTTGGGCCTTGGATGCTGGGAAAAGGATTGGCAATGATGAAGTGTCTACTAGATTTAACCTCCTAAGAACTGAAAATTCAAAAGTCACCAGTAAAGACTGCTTGTGTAGTGTCCAACCCTAGTATTAATAAAAATAATGCTGCTATGTTATAGTATTATCAATTAGGCCACCCAATTATCCAAACATACAATTCCTATGCCACTCAACCATATCAGTCATTTTTTTTATCTATAGTGATATTTAGGGAGCCTCTAGAGTAAAAAATATTACCTATTTTTTATAGTTTGTGACCTTTGTTAATGATCACACTCGATTTATTTGGGTATTTGTCTTATTTCAAAAAAAAGTTATTTGGGTATTTGTCATAAAAGAAAAATTAGAAGTTAGGTGAATATTTGAAGACTTCAAAAATATGGTTCAAGCATGATCTCACGCAAAGATTCAAGTCATTCGAACAAAAAATTACGAGAATACCATCACAATATTCTCTGCTCATATCTACAGGAGCATAATATCATACACCAAAGCTCAAGCATTGATACTCCACAGCAAATTGGAGCTATGGAATACAAAAACAAAAACTTGATAAGAGTTCCACGATCAATTATGATTGCCTTAAATGTATCAAACAATCTTGAGGTGAAGTTTTTTTTAATGCAACCTTCCTAATCAACCAAATGCCTTCCAGAGTTCTCAAATTTAAAACCACATGTCAAATCTTCATGATAATATATCTATCCACTCCTATAGTGTTAGTTATTCCAATCAAAATATTTGTTGTATGGCATACGGTCATATTTACAAGTCCTAGTGTATTAAATTTAATCTAACTATGATTAAATGCATCTTTCTAAGGTAGTCATTGAACCAAAATTCATAAAAATGCTACTCTCCTACAACTATAAAATGCTGTACTTTCGTTGGCTGTAGCATTCTTCGAAAATTATCTTCTACTCCAAAACTGCAATTCATTGAGAGAATTTGTCAACATATGAATTCCAATTTTGGAAAACTGAATCACCACTACCTCAACTTCATCTTTGCCTCCACAAACAGTCACAATCACTACTCTTTCTATCATTGAAAATAATTTCTTAGATGTTCCTTCCTCATTCCTAAACCAACCTTTGTCATGCCTAAGTCAACTGTATCAGATAGTAAAGAGGTAATTGTTTTATTCTAAGAGAAATTGAAAGAAAAAGTCTAAAAAGCCTTGTTAAAAGGAGCAAGAGAATGACACTTTATCTGCAAAACTAAGAATTGGATCAAGATCCAAGTAACTTGCGTTTACAATTAGGTAACATATGTTGACAATTTGAAATTCAGTAATGACCTTGATGATCTCGATCAATCAATTGCTTTAAGGAAAAGTGTAAGATTCAACAAATAATATCCACTCAGTAATCAAGTATCTTATGGAAAGCTTTTAGAATTTCCAAGCATTTTTCACCTCCGTTGAAAATAATTTTATCCGATCTAACATCCAACAACCAAGATGGAAGACTCTTTTTCATGAATAAATTCAAGTCTTGGAGAAGAACGAGACATGAGAATCTCTGAACTACTTACTAGAGAGTAAGAATCTAGTTGGATACAAGTGGATATGTACTATCAAGCACAATCTAGGTGGAATATAAACAAGTACAAGACTTGAGTAGTGGTCAAAAGGTACTACCCAATCATATAACATTGATTATGAACTGACGTTCGCACTAGTGAAGTTCAATACCATCAAAGTATCATTGCCAATGGCATTAAATTTGGAATGGAATCTACACAAACTTGATATCAAAAATGCATTTCTCAATGGAGAACTAGAAGAAATCTAGATGAAAATTCCACATCGTAGAAACTCCAGAAAACTCAGAAATCCACCTCGTACAAACTAAAACTTTGTATGGTCTCAAACAATCGCCTATAGTATGTGATGTGAGCAAAGAAAGGAAAAAGAATTTCTTCTTAAGGGGAGAATCAGCCAAGGGGTGAATTTCCTTCCTAAACCGCGTAGGAAATCAAGAGAAAGAGGAAAACAGATCTCATGCCTTAATAAGAGATTGAATCTCATGAATTTTGGGAAGATTATGGGAGCAATTAATCCTTTCCAGAACTGGTCATAATCTTGTTTAATTCTTCCCTCAATCATCTCCATAATTAATTAAGATCTCTATTTAGGGAGATCATATCTATCGTATTTTAGAAAACAATTATATTAATTATTGGAAGTTTCTTATTCTATTTTAAATTTATTTTCTTATGTAATTTTACAATTAATTTAGAAGATTATTCTCATTATTATTCATATAACCTACACTATCAATGGGCCATCAATTCATAGTTATATTCAATCAAGTTTTGAGAGTAATAAAATTACAAAGTTTTAGTTTCAAATAGTGAGGTTTTCTTCAACTTTTTTTTTAAGTGAGGAATTAGTATTTACTTATCAAGGTAATTTTTGGTGTTTTCATCAATCTCTTTTTAAAATTAATTTTAACTTATTAAGGTTTTCCTTATGGCTATTTCAAAAAAAAAAAAAAAATTTTTGTGGCGTTCTAATTAATTCATTTATTTCTATTATCTTAATTTTCACTCCCCTGTTGAGTTCGAGTCAAATAGGGAGGGTTTATTTAGGATTTTGAGTTTCTGATTACTAATGTTTATGGGGGGTTTTGGATTCTGTTATTGATCTGGGGCTCCGCATCAGTATGCTTTGATTGAATGACTAGAGTTATAAAGAGACAGATTCATTTAATGTTGAGCTAATCACATATTGTTTTTGAAGCGCTCTAAGGAAGGTAAAATGATTTTTGCTCATTGTACATGTTGATGATGTTACAATTGTTGGAGATGTTAAAGAAAGTGTAGTTTAAGTTATATGGTATAGGGATAAATTACACTCTTTATAATTAATTATAATTAATTATTTATTATCTTTTATGCTTAGAAACCTGTATATATAAGAGTATAATATTCAATAGAAGATACATCAAACTATTTTTAACATGGTTTAAAGCACTCAATTAAAAAGAGTTAGTCTTAGTTATAAACCTTCTTTGACCTTTATTGCTAAAATAGAAAATGAAAAGAATCCTCGAAAGGTTAGGTCAGCCTTCATAGTAGGCCATTGTAGACCAACCACCAGCAATCGCAGCCGGCCACTCGAAGTAGTGAATTTGGCCTTCATCATTGGTGCCAAAACTCTTCGACCGCAGCACTAGATGTGGTGGCGACCAGACCATCCCACTGCCAAAACGCAAAACGTCTTGTCGCGACCAGACTCGATTGTAACCAAATCGCACCACTAGAATGTGACCTTGATCCTGGATCTTGGAGCTTGTCGAGTACTGAGTCAAAATCAGTCCAATAATCTAACTTTAATCCTAAAACTGAGATAAGTCTCGAAAACTTATACAGTCTGAAATGATATACTTATTGCACTTTGTAAAGGCACAAGAGAACGTACTAAACACTCTCTCTATTCTTTCTTACAGTTTGTGTCATGTGCTCAAGAGAAGAGTCTCATTTCCTGTTATTCATTAATCGTGAGATAGAATGGAAGATTTAGACAAGAATGTTTAGCCTTTCAGACGTTTAGCTTGTTAGACTCAATTGGTTCACTGCTACAGTTGAGATTCTCTTATTTGTACACATAAAGGGTGGTGGGATACGAAACGAAGTGAAACCACTGCAGTGAGGGGCTATTTTCTCAAATTTATGAACAATATGTCTTGCAAGGACTTGAACAAAAGGGAGTAAAATAGCATCTTGGCAACTAGTCAAGTTGGCTACTTGGGATTGCCGTCATATTTAGTCCAATAAGAGGTGGTGCTAAGTTGGCAATTTTACAAGTTGGAACTCGTGGTTACCATCTCCTTTGGCCACCACCTTTGCATCCATGAACAATGGTCAAGTTGACAACTTGAGACCACCTGTGGACCAATCAAAAAGGTGTAGCATAAGTTTCCACCTCTTTCCAAGAAAAATGAACGAAAAAGATACTATCAAAGTAATTCCTAAATTGAGCTAATATGTCGTAAATAGCTAATACAAGAAGATATTAAAATACAAAAAGTACATAAAATTTTGAGAACACTTTCTAATACTAAAAATTTTTCATCTTAGCTTGTCCCTGTTTTGCATTACTAAGACTTCTTTATCCCCATTTGAAACACAAAAAGATCCATTATGAGTATATAAGCCAATTGACCATATGACTTTTTACACGGTTTTGGTATTCGAAAAGCAAAGTAACTTATTTTTCTGGGAAGGGGGGAACATAGAGTACTATCCGGTTTTACTTTATTTTTAACTGCCATATGCAACCAGAAATTATTTGATCTCCTGATTCCGTTTCTCCTTCAACACAACAGATTGGTTGGAAATATTTTGAAGCTATGTTTGAGCTAAATGAAATTTTTGGGGTGTTTTACTGAGTGGATATTATTAATTCAGATATATGAGGACAAAATTCTCCAAATGAATTGAGATAATATATATTTGAAAGTTTCATTCATTTCTGGTAAATATTGAACTGTGTTGTTTTAGTTCCGCTTGAAATTTAGTTGGCATTAAATTTTTATTTTTTCGTTTTTTTTAGGAGTTTTATTTTCTCGTTGTTAAATCAAGTACACATTTTGAAACAAATTTTTTTCGCAAAATAACTCATTTGCTTCAGATACACATTAATGTCAGATTAATGACCTTTGCTTCGTAGCTCAAATCTTGTGGAACTGCAAACCCATATTCAGTATTGAATTAGTTATATGGACTCCTAAAATCTTTTTAATATTATTCTCTAAACAAAAAAAAAATAAAAGAGTTCTGTTTAACACCGAAAGCCATCTTCTAGTTTCATTTTGAATGACATATATTTATACATATGAATGTAAAGATGAAAACTCGAAAAAGCTTTATATACCAAATAGAGCCTAACTTTTTACTTTCTGTTTTCTTTTCTCTTTTGCAGGGTTATATTTCAGGCATTGGAAACTGGATTGCTGATGAAGTGCTGTACCAAGTCAGTTAGCTTTTCATATTTGCACAACTTATCTTCAATATTTAAAGTTACAATTCAATCAATTCTGTAGTTTTCTTAAATATAGAAAAAGGAATATATTATTAAGAACTAATACACTATTATTATTGACAGATGCGCAAAAGAAAAATCTGTAATGGGATAAATTTTCCATGAATTTTCCTTTATATATTTTTGATAGTTTTTTTGTCTTATTACTTGGAAAATTTTCTTTTCTTTACCTTGATATTGGAGGAAGATTACATTTATAAATTGCATTCAGATGCAGTTGTTTCATGTACGAGGACATACTTGACATTTGCAAGAAAAATTAGAACGTTTTAGATTTTGGACCCTGAATCCTAATATCGAGTGGCTCTCATTTGGCTTAGGTTATTAAGGCCTTTATTACGGGCTTTTTGCAATGAAACTGGGGAGTGTTTAAGAATAAGGTGATGGAGATTTTTCAATGAATCTCATTTTAGTGGCACATTTGTGAAAATTATCAATTCCTCTTTCTTCCTTTTCATTCCAAAGGTAGATGGAGCTGTTAATTAGGGAGACTTTGGACCTATTGGTTTGGATGGCAGTGTCTACAAGTTGATTTGAAGTGTTTATTCAAAAGATTAGAATTATAAATTCTGTGATGGGTGGGTGTTAACAGATACTTGATACGTTTTTGGTGGCTAATGAAATATTTGACACTAGCATAAGAAATCAGGACACTAAGTTCCTCTGCAAATTACATGTTGAGAAGGCTTCTGATCATGTCTCTTGGTTCCTTCTGCTGTATCTGCTAAGAGGATGGGGTTTGGAGTGAAATAGAGGGGTCGGGTGGGTACTGATATTTCTACTACCTCCGTTACTGTTCTTGTTAATGGGGAATCTTTGGATTTCTTTTCAGCCATTAGAGGACTATGACAAGAAGACCTAAAGGCCTACTCTCACTTTTTTTTCTTCATTAGTGGCGTTAAAGTTGGGCAGGGTGAGCAAGAGTTACAATTCTATTGTTAAAAAACCAAGCAATGAAGCTCTCGAAAACTCAAATCTATGTATAAAAATTTAGGAAAAAAATATTTACTTTATTTTCACTACATTTTTTGTGTTACAAACGACTTATATATATATACAAGAATTTTTAAGTGCAAATAAGAAAATTTTATTTATAATAGGGATTTTAAATAATTATAAAAAATTAATAGTAAGAGTTATATAAGAAAAATATCACAATTATTTAGACAACAAAATATTCATGTCAACACTTTCCTTCAAGTTGGTGCGAAAATATCACACATGTCCAACTTGCATATTAAGTTCTGAAAAGTTTTGTTGCAAAGTTATTTAGTTAAAATATCTGTCACCTGATTGTTAGAAGATACATGATATAAATATAAGGAGTCATCGATCACTTTCTCTTTTATGAAATGATGATCAATCTCAATGTGTTTCGTCCGGTTATGTTGAACTGAATTTTGGGCAATACTAATGACTGCTTTATTGTCACAAAACAATGATAGAGTTCATTTTTTAAACAGTTTTAATTCATTGATTAGCTTCTACAGTCATAATAATTCATCCGCCCCTTGAGTCATTACTCTATATTCTGTTTTAGCATTAGAACAGGCAACTACACTCTGTTTCTTGCTTTTCTATATAACCAATTTGCCACTAACGAGTGTGCAGTATCCAATAGTTGACCTTCTATCATCTGTAGATACAATCCAATCGGCATCTGTAAATGTTTCTATTTTAAGATGGTCATTTCTGGATAAGAGTAAACATTTTCCTAATGCAGGTTTTAGAGACCATAATATTTGAAAGACAACATGTAAATGAGTCTCACGAGAATCATGCATGTACTGACTCACCAGACTAACTGCATAAGTTATATCTGATATGGTATGTGAGAGATAAATAAGTCTTCCAACCAATCTCTAATATCTTTCTATGTCAACTGATGTACCACTGTCACCTTATAGTTTGTTATTACTTTCAATAGAGGATTTTGCTGGCTTACAACCCATTATTACAGTCTTTTCTAATAAGTGTAGGATATACTTTCTTTGATAAATGAAGATTTTTTTATTAAATATGACAATCTCAATTCCCAAGAAGTAAAGACAGTAATGGTCTAAAAAAAAACTCAATTTTACAGTCAAAATCTCTAGTAAAGACACTAATGGATGAAAGACTATCATAAAAAAGTAGGCATATGAAGAACTGTAGTCAATGAAATGGTCGGAGTATAATTAATGGAACCTGTTCCAGATACAAGAGTGTATGATCCATTAGCGACAGATATTTTCTTATTGAGTACACAGAAAATAGGTCAGAAAATCTTTAGAAGAGCCTGTTATGTGTTTGTTAACTTCAGAGTCTATAATCCAAGTATCAGAATTGGAAATAATAGGTAGAGGAGCAGTACTTGAGTTTACCATTTTTGACATACCGATAGAGAAAGAACAATACCCAGCTACTAATTTCAACGAGATAGAAAAAAATCCGAAGGATGCCAAAAAATGCTCCAACACCAATGGAGACCAAAAAATGCTGCGAGTCTGAAGGAGATCACCAGAGACAAGTCTGTCCAGTGAGGCAGGAGAACCAGAGTCGGATCCGAGAGAAACAAGTCTGGAGCCGAAGATAGAGGCAGGCGCGTGCCGCGGGAGACCAAATAGCGACCGGACTTTGGCCAAAAAACAAGCAAACCTGCTGGTGCTCAACCAGACGCGGTCACACGGCTGAAAAAAGACACAGATCGCGCACGGTCGCGTGAAGAGGATCTGCTAGTGCAAGGGATTGCACGGCTTGAACCTGAGCAGTCTGTCCTCTGCGCAAAATGCGGTGCGCGAAATCAGAAGGTTGTGTTGAGTTTCTAATGTGCGAAATCAGGTCGAAGAAATGCCGAGATTTGTAGCATTAGCCGGCGGAACAAAAGACGTCGCGAACCAATGGTCATGCGCGAAGGAACAGTGCAAATCAGCCGTGCACGAACAAAAAACTGAGAATAATGGGTGCAGCCAGAAAAAAGAAACGCCACAAACAGAGGCTGTGCGTGAGGAAGCCGCACGAACAGCGGGTTGTGGCCGGAGCAGAGGGATCGGGTAGGGTGGAGTAGGTCACCGAAATAGGGCGATCGGCCGCCGTGAAGGGAAAACTCCATTAGGTGGTGAGAAGATTCTAGGATTTGGAAAAAAAATCCTAAAATAAAAGCCTAAAGATTCCCTTATTTTAGCTCTGATACCATATAGAAATTTAGAAAAAAAATATTTACTTTATTTTCACTATATTTTTTGTGTTACAAATGACTCATATATATGAGAATTCTTAAGTACAAAAAAGAAAATTTCTCTTATAATAGAAATTCTAAAAAATTACAAAAAATTAATCGCAAGAGTCATATAGGAAAAATATTTCAATTATTTAAACAACAAAATATTCATGTCAACACTGTGCTACTGTGCTTTAAGTTGTCTTGGCCCTCAGAGTTAATTGGGGGAAGGTGGGAACGATCCCAACGGGAAACAATGTCAAGGTCAAGGAACTAGCCAGAGTTCTTGGGTGTTTAAAGTGGCATCTTTTCCTGTTAAATACCTTGGCTTTCCTCTGGATGCTAAAATCAAATATGCGAAGATTTGGGATGTAGTAATTTTCAAGATGGAGAAGAAGCTCTCATATTAGAAAAGAAACATGTTTTATGCGGGAAGAAGACTTTTTAGATCCACACTTTCCAAGATCTCCATATACTTATCTATCTTCTCTATCATCTGCAGTGTGGCCGAAAGAATTGAATCCTTAGGACATCTCCATATACTTCTTATCTGTCTTCCCTATCATGTGCAGTGAGCCAAAAGAATTGAGTCCTTAGGATACAAGTTCGTGTTTGGTGGTGGTGCATACAAAAGGAAGTATTATTTGGTTGTGTTATACAAGATTAAACATCCGTTTAGCAACGAGGGTTTAGGCATCAGGTCCATCATAACGTTTAACAACGCGTTGCCTTCTAAACAGAAATGGGGGTTTCTTGTTTCCAGTAATGCTCTCTGGAGAAGGTTATCACAGAGTCCGGATTGGAAGATAATGGGTGGACCTCTCGAAACAGTAAACGTGCTTTTTTGTTATAGCCCCTTGGAGATGAATCAATGGTGATTAGGGATGATTTATTGAGTTGCATAATATTCATTGTAGGCAGTAGCAGTAGGGTCAGATTCTGGACTGATCATTTTTTTTTCGATTGCGAGGCACAGAGAAGCAAAGATCAGGCAGTGTTGTGAGGGGAATGCTGTCCCTTAGCCTTGTTATAAGCAGTTTTTAGCAGCCTCTTCCAGGTACCTGCCTACTTGGAAATTTAACAATAGTGGTAAGTTCTCAGTGAAGTCCTACCTTCATATTCTTTTGGACCAGATCCTGAATGTTTTTCCCTGGAAAATAAATGTGAAAAACCAAAGCCTCCCCTCGTGTTGTTTTTCTTGCATGGAAACTGTGTGGGAGGATCTTCACTTTAGATAATCTGGCTAAAAGAGGTAGAATTGTGGTTAACAGTTGCTTTCATTCTTTAATAGGTGGGAATCGCTGAATCATCTTCTCCTTCTTGTGAGACAAAAAGACCATGGGATCCGGCTCTCAATCTTCTGAACCTCTCATTGGTGATGAGCGATTATATCAAGAAAGAAATTTGAGTTGGCGCGGGTTTGTGACAACTAAATCTAGGGAGAAGATAATTTCCCTTCATTCTTTTGTCTAGTTTGTGACAACTAAATCTAGGGAGAAGATAATTTCCTTCATTCTTTTGTCTATTGGCTGGGTCATCTGGAAGGTGGGAAACAAGAGAGCATTTGCTAACATTTCCTCTCCTTTGCAGAGAGTAGGGACGATTTCTAAAATTTTTCTCAAAGGCAAGCTTATAATGGATGGTTCTGATATTTTAGATTTATTGATTTCCTTATGTTTGATAGCTTTGTAAACATTTCTCTGATTGGCCTTCACTTCTTTGGGAATCAGAAATTCAAATAAAAAGATATATATATATATATATATATATGGTTTTTCCTCTAAAAGAAGAAAGTGTCAAATGTAGGTTTGTAGGATTGGATTTATAGTCTTGAGGAGACAGATCTAATTTTGTTTCCTGTTTTACCATTCATGGAAAAATGTAAACAGATGCTTGAGCAACAATGGAATTATATGAGAGTCCATATAGGATAATGAGCTTATGAAAATGTTTTCTGTTTCCTTGATATGTCTAGGATAAGGCTTCTTTTTTAATGCTGCCGTTTCAAGAGTTCTTTGTGGTTGATAATGTCTATGCCACATTAACAGACGTTTATCTTGCACACTTTGATCTCATTTGCTTGCAGGCTAGAATTCATCCTCTCCAGGTTGCTGCCAGCCTGTCCAAAGAACAATGTGCAGCTTTACACAAGTGCGTCAAGGAGGTAGGAGAAAGTGCTTCATCTCAGCATTTACTTCAAGATGTGGAAATGCTATTTATAGAGCATTTTTTATTCTTAAACGTAAAGGAGGAATACATGTAGGTTATTCAATATGCTGTTGAAGTTGATGCTGAAAGTAGCCACTTTCCTCCTGAATGGTTGTTTCATTTTCGGTGGGGCAAAAAGCCTGGAAAAGTTAAGGGTAAGATACTTCTTGATGAAGTTACAATTTTGACAGAAAGGTTGCTTTTCAGGTCATTGAAAAGGCACTTGAAGTTGGGGCAGACAGTAGTCAGTTTCCTAGTAATTGGATCTTTCATTCCCGTGAAAAGAAGCCTGGCAAGGCTTTTGTTGATGGTTTGGATCCTGACCTTATGCCATGTCTCTTAACAGCATCACATTTGGTTGATTGTTTTTCTAATGCTATTTGGTTCTCTCCTCCCTTTTTACCATCCATCACTCCCTTTATTTCTCTCTTTGTTATTGCTTTCTTTTTTGGGATTGTTTGGTTGTTTATACAAAATTAGTCCACTGCTTTAGGGAGTTAATTAGTTACGTTTTCTTGGAGAAAGTTAAAATTTCGGATTCTAATAGTTCATTAGGCAATTCTAAATCTGTTATGAGACTGATGAGCTTTCATTTTATGTATGTCAGGAAAGAGAATTGATTTTATCAGTGCCGGTGGCAGGGTATGTTCATTGAACAGTCTGATACCTTACCGCTCTGAAAAGAGATTAATCTAATGGTATTCTGTTTCTATCTTAGACAACAGCTTATGTACCAGAATTGCAAAAGCTGAGTGGAAACCAAGCTAAAAAAGCTGCGGTTAAACCAGAAAAGCAAACTGTAAAAAGAAAAGGAAGTAAGGATGATGAGGAGGAAGAAAGTGAGGATGCAGACGATAAAGCCAAATTGAAACAAGTCGCGGAATCAAGAGGTCGTAGCAAGAAACCTCCAGTGAAAAGAAAATCCAGTGAGAGTGACGAAAGTGATGACTCTAACAATGATGAGAGCGATAAGAATGGTGATCAGAAAAAGAAATCTCAAAAGGTGACAAGCAGTAGAAAGAACAAATTAGCAAAGACACCCAAGAGAAAAGTAACTGGTCCAAATAACAAGAATTCCCAGTGGAAAAAGTAGTTTGCAGTTATTGGAAGGTAAGTTTCGGAAGAACAAAATGAAAAGGCGGATGTAGCATGGTTTTGAAGTGTTGCTTGATATTGGGCATGTGATCCCACTTCTGTAAATATTGCTGCATAGAATCAGAAGTGCAGAATTTCCTTTTCGATTTGGCTGTACCTTTGAGAATGCTAGTTTAATTTATTTTCAGGTAATTAACATACCGCTTGGATCTGTAATGTAAAGGACTAATCTAAGTTCTGTACCTTTTTACAGCTCCATTTCTGTTTTTCATTTCAGAGTTTCAACCAATCATACAAGAGAAATTGGGAAATTTTGGAAGTTTTATCAACAATAAAAAAATTGTCCTGAAGTACACAGAAATATCAAACCACAATCACCTGAGGAATGCTTATCCATTACAAGGATAACAATATTCTATTCCTTGGAAAACTGCAGGGCATCATCCAATGCCAAACTTACATATACATTCATGTTAAAACAATGGGTATATATACATATTTATAAACAATTAACAATTAGTGAATTCAATAGACTACTAGCAGGCCTAAACGGTTTTGAAGGGACGATGCCAACATGAACTGCCTGTGTCTGATCTGTAGGAAATTTGAAAAGTGAAAACAACAAATAAAGTCATTTATATTTTTCTTTTGTCTTTGTTAGTACCAAAGTGTGCTTCTAGTGCATAACTAATGAGATAAGATAAACGAAAAATGATTAAGAAATTCAATTTACATCTAACCCTGGAACGTATAACCTTACAACAGAAGAATGTTGCTTACATGAGACGAGGCCTAAGCACGCACACTTTAATTTAGAAAAATACTTTCAGGGCATCAACAACTTTCTCCGGCCTGTCAATCCAGTAATTAGTAAACGTCATATAAGTAAAAGAAGAAAAGAGAATAAATACAGTTGCTTTGACAACGCTACTTACCAGTCCTCCTGTGGCATGTGCCCTGCACCTTCTATTAATTTGAGTTTGATGGCGTCGGGGTTTCCTTTCTGGAATTCCTCTGCAACAGACTGAGGTAGGTGCTTATCTGATATTCCCCAAGCAAGTAGCACTGGCTTATCCCAACTGAAGTCCACATCAAATTGATTCAACAATCAAAGAAAGGAATTAGAATAAAATTATTTGTAGAATTAAGATTGGTCAATATCAGTAACACAAACAGCAATATGCTCTTGAAACAAAAGGTTGAGATCTATCATAATTAAGTTGATATATGAGAACCTTTCATCCAAAGTAAGTCAATATGAAACCTGCTGCAAGATGTTGAAACATGGCCTAGATGGCTCTATTAACAGAACTTCTACTCCCGAAATCAAATGGTTTTTATTCACATTAAAAGATGAACTAGCAGTTCTTGGCTTTGGGTTGGAGTTACTAGCAAAAATCAATTCTGGTCAAGCCGTTTAAAAGGTGATGTACTTACAGAAAAAATATTTACAACCTAAAATTTGATGCTATTCAGAAGTCATATAACCTAAAACCAAAAAGGCTTACCTTCCAGTTGCAAAGCCAGCTGATATTTGGCTTGAGATGTCTCTGAAATTAATTTTTCTTGCAGCTTCAAGCAAAGCTGAAACACCAAACAGAATATGAAAGTTACTTGCTTCTATTGATATCCATCTCCTGGTGATGCAGAGATTATTTATATCAGCTTTAATACTTATAAGACCAAGCAACTGCATTTTTCATTGACCTAACATTAAATTTTATTTCAAGGAAGGAAACTGAAAAACAAAAAATATTTTGCAGTAGAAGCCTAGTAATGAAAGTGAATCGCAAACCAAATCCAGGTCCGCTGCTTGACAAATATGGTAATCTGTATACATCAGCCTTCTCAGTCTTCAAAACATATCTGCCAAAATGATAGACAAAAATTCATAAGACAAATCCGTAAGAAAGTTCTACTAGATGGTAATTTGCGTAAATTAATTCCTGAAATTAAAGGATCTTGACTAAAATGAATCAATTTTTGAACCTGTTAAACATCAGGGAAGAATATCTTTAATAATGTAATAAAATTTTAATTGAAGCAGAAACTCTAATACATGCATGTTTCTTATTCCACTACTATTTAGAGCATTGTAAAGGAAATAGCAGAAATTTGCTTTTACCAAACCTTATCTTTAACTTATGTCTATTTTTTTTTATGTTAGTTGTCATACTGCAGTAGTTGAAATGTGAATATGCACAGGAAAAGATGAATTTCAGTAAACACTATACAGGAGGCAAACTCAAAATGGAATACTTCAAAATTATCAGATACAATTTCGGATACATACGGGCTACCTGCTTCAATAAACCGCTCAGCCATAATGGCATTCTGGCAGGTGAATTCACCATAGAGAGGGATCCTAGTAAGGACAAAGAAAAAACTAAAGTGAACAAGAAATTTAAATTACCCCAAAAGGAATAGTGAAATTAAACACAATGTCTCCATTGAAGCATTCATGACAATGAAAACGTTTTATGACATGAAGAAGCAACGAAGAAATACATAAATATCTAAAGAGATGGACAGAAACATGCCAACTCTAGCTAGAAGATAAACTGGAAGAAGACAACTAATTTACTTATGCAAGTCAGAGCCTAACTCAGGTGTAATTTAAATAATTTGCATATACGACAATCATAACCATGCAAGGGACAAAAGAGGGTTGCACCTTAGCTTTTGAAATAGTCCAGGAAGGGGAGATGAAACTGTTACTGGACTATTCAGTATTGCAAGTTTTGATATCTTGCTTGGGTTTTTCAAGGCCCAGGTCAATCCATATGAACCTACAGAATCCCTTTGGGGAGAAAGGAGTTGGGAGAAGAAAATGTTAGAAATGTAGGTTTGATGTGATGGTACTTATTGGATCTAGATATTACATACTATTCTAGGAATTATTCATATTTTTTGCAACGTAATTTACAAAAATACCCTCTTTAGCTTAGATTACAAAGATACCTCCTTTAGTTAGTAATCTTTTTTGAGAAGCCTTTAGTTACTAATCTGTACTAATTGTTCAAAAAGTTGACAATCATATGACTATTACATTATTTCAGTCTTAGCTGACTATTAGAGTTAAAATGTTTTAGTATAGAGTTAACATAATGCTGACATAGAAGGCATATTAGTACTACTAAATAGCCCTTGGGGGGAGAAGGATGCATTATATTAGTGTGGACGATTTGGAAAATATAACTGGAGAGCATGTATTGTTAGGTTCCATTTGTATCTTCGGTGGAATCTGGCATATCTTAACTAAACCTTTTGAGGCTTGTGGGATTGACGTAAGGAGGTGTGGATGACTATATTTCTTGGAGCAAACTCCAGGAAAATATGAAGCTCATGGATGCAAGTTATAGCTCAGAACGAAAGACAATTCCGGAGACCGTTTTTCTTTCTAGTGATGCTTTTATTAAGATTTTCATTTTCATTATAATTAAAAAGAAGTAAATTGTTTGCTATGATCCACGGTTTTAATTTGAGGAACGCATTTTTCCTATGCTGCCTCCCATAGAAATTAATATGTGAGACTATGTTATAATCATGCTCAACTCAAAAGGGTCTTTGTGTAAATCTTCCCTGTCTTAATAGATGTAAGTGTTGTATATATTGAAGGTTAAATTGCTTTAAAGAAAATCAAGATCAAATTGCTAAGTAGGTGGCTCGGAAACTAACCAAGAAAAAGCACACCTACTGAATATCTTGAAGAAGTATATTCAAACCTGAACAACAAGGAGGAAAGGAGAATTGATCCCAAGCGTGCCAAGTAATTTATCAAATTCCTCATGGAACTCCTTCTCTGTAAGAGTTGAAATTTAAAATACTGAGAAGAACATGAGCAATATAATTAGAAAAAAGTAGTGACTTTCAAAATCATAAATTAGAAACATAATGAAAGAAAAAAATACCTGTATAGTTAAAACCATATCCTGGCTGTGGCTTGTCACTGAAACCAAATCCTATCCAATCAGGAGCAAAGCAGTGAAATCCAGCATCTGACATCTAGTCAACAGAGAAATAAGAAATTTATAGAATGAAGAAATTAACATGAGATTTTGATCATCACTGTCAGGTTCTTAGCACACGCATCACCACTTAATAAGTGCCTTATCATCTCTTAGAATTAAGAAAGCAGGGGAGAAAGGATGTAATTATGGAAAATATGGTAAGCTCAACTCATCTTTGTCCTTATAAACTACTGGCAAATGTGGCCATATATTTGACTGACGTATGAATTCATAAATGTAGAAATTCTAACAATCTTCTCCTTCGAAGAAGTTAGAAAAACTTTGAAACACCAATCAATCATGGATAACAGGTGAAGCAATTTCATAATTGTACTACCTGAGACATAACAATCCGATAGCTAAAAGACTGAGTTGGAGCGCCATGAAGGAAGACAATGGTTCCACGTCGGCTCTCAGCCGATCCTGCAAGGTCAAGAGAAAAAAAAAAGAAAAAGAAAAAAACCGAGTCATCACCAAGAATCTTCAACAGAAACATAATTAAATTAGAGCAGAATAAAGAAGAATTACCAGTTTTCCTTACAAACCATCTAAACTTTCCGGATTTGACATAAGACCCAAATTCTTTCCCCTTGTCTTCTATCCTCTGTAATTCACAAACATATTACACTTCCAGAAATGCCTAGGCTCAAAATATCCATAGAAATTTAATGAGAGGAAGAACATACGTAAAGCATTTGGCCAACATTTCCGTCCTCGGCGGGAACTTCGGGGAGCTGGATGGCGCTTCGACTGGAAGGATTATCGGTAACGAAGCCAAAGGGGTTAAAAGCCGGGGAATCCTTGTTGTCGTTGCTCTGGCTTTCACTTTTGTTAGCGAAGATTCTGAATCTGAGACGCTGTGGTTCCGTGCTGCGGCCATGGAAGCTGGTGGAGCGAGAGAAGGGGAGGAGAAGAGAATGAGGAGGAGAAAGAAGAAGCATTGTGGTTTGGGTGGAGAGTTTTGTGAACACAACCTGCACCACACCCCTTCACTCTCATCATTATTATACCTCTTACAACACTTTAAAATTTAGTTATTACCTACCACGAGTTGCATTTCTCAATAAATAATTATAATTTTGAGTTCAGTATTTGAAATATTTATTACATGATTAAAAATTAAGCTGTGAACTTTTATGAATCCAATTCATGATTTGAAAATGTTCCATTTGTTTCTGATAAATGTTTTATAATTTTTTAAAATAGAAGTTTATTCGTTTTTAAGTATTATTTAATTTTTTTTTTAAGAAAAAATTATCTGTTCAATTTCTAATAAAATCAAGATAATAATAATACATTCCGATATAAATGATCGTTATCTTATTCTTCCACCCGGAGGGATTGATTGTATTTTTTTTTTTTTTTATGTATTGCGTTTAGTTTACATGTTGCGAATATATTTTAACTTAATTAATTTGCTCTTGGATAGCTGGATTTATAGATTTTAAATTCTTGAAATTTGAAAACTAATTACAACTTTTGTCTTTGTCACGAACACTTGTATTAATATTTTTATAAAAATTTTAGTTTTGAATTGACTAAGGAAATATGGAAAGAATAAAAAATTACCCATCAAAAGTCTCTATAACTAAAAAGTTAAAAAGAAATGTATAAATTGGTATATTGTACTACAATATATTAAATGTTACAATTTGGTATTACATGGGAAGCACTAGCACTAGTCCTAATGTGTTTTGAAAGACTCGGTAGAGATGTCATATCAAGAAAATACAAAGGAGATCTACCCGAGAGGGATGCATAGAAGGATAAATAGTAGTTTTAGTTTTAGCATGTTGATAGCCACTTTAAGAAGAAGATTTCTTCAAGGTGGCAAACCATGTGGAATCTTTATCGAAGACTCTATACCAAGACTAAGTTTCCTTTCTCTTTTTGTACTCAGTTATTTTCTATTCAAATTATGTACTCAACCATCATCATGTAATAGATTCTTTAGCTAGGGATTGATGGTGGACCCAAATAATATGTACTGATTTAATTTATGAAGATGTTTATTTGTATTATGTTCGTGTGATGATTATGTTTTATTGTATTTGAGACCTTCTATTAATTTCATTTATGAAATTTGTATGATTAATAATGACATTTGGATAGGTGGTGGATTATCCGAGTAGACTACAAAATATAATATGAATTGAAAAAGATAAGCAAAGAGATTTTAGAATATTTACGCGGTCTAGTTAGACTACTAACTAAATCTAACTATAAAGAATTTACGGAATTTAATACACTTAATTGAGATTTAATATGGAGGAAGTCTAAAAGTATATATAATTAACTCCTAATCCTTAGTTTGATGGTTAATTAGTAAAATAACCAAGGTAATTATATTTAAGAATTCTCTCATCACATACACTATCAGTAATTATGGTCCGTCAAAAGAAAGTTATGTTAGGAGCAGATAAAATCGATGTTCTCAATTGACATCATAATTTAAATCTTGATTAATTCATTAAGGTTACTTAGAAGTTAGTTTAATAGGTTTAATTTAATTTTATGGAATAAGAATGAGAATATACTAGAGACATAATAGGATTTGAATAAGATACCATCTAATTATGAGCTAATTCCATGTCCAATCCAAATTATGTATTTATGATTTCTTCATTAACATATGAGGATTTAAATCCACGAAAGTTAGTAAAATTGATTTTATTGCAGATTAAATATGTAAATTACAACTAACTAATAAATATCAATTAATTAAATTTTAGAAACGAAGTATGAATAATGGTTCTTGAATGAGCCTCTACTAGATTTCGGTATAAGGCTTAGTTTCTTTTCAAATTGAAGAATTATGTCATATTCATTTTTGTTAAAATTGGACTATACTAGTTTTAATAAGTCATATAAAATTTAACTAAATTTGATCAAATTGTTATTCTTAAAATTTAACGAATTCAAATGTACAATAATTTATTTATTAATAAAAATAAAATCAATCATATAAATATAAATATCAAAATTATCTCAAGGAAATAATAAAGTATTACGTAATTAATTTTACTTAATTTAAGCATAAATATTAAAATTATACTTAAAATTAAAATTATCTCAAACTTTAAATCCATCCAATCAAATTTTAATTTTTTATCCAGTTATAATTTATGCAAGTATAAAGTACAATTAATTATATGAACACAATTACAATGATTGAATTATGATTTAGTACACTCATGTTCATCATAATTCATAACATATATTTTATTATTTTTTGAAATTAAATTTGATATTTTCCATTCAAACAAAGAAGACCGAACATAACAAAAACAATTTATTTTCGTGAATTTAAAGAAAAAATTACACTAAATATTAATTATATAAAGACTCAAAACTTAATAGAAATGAAGATATTGAATTAATAAAATAATAGCGAAATTAATTATTAGCTTATGATTTACATTCATTGCACAGTAAATCAGGATGCCCAATAAAGTTACGGAAACGTCCATTTAAAAAAAAATTAAAATAATAAAAACTAAAATCCTATAAGGTTATCCTCCGCTGGGCAATTCTGATGGGATGTGGGAGACAATTTTTAGTTGCAACCTTCCTGCGGTTCAGGATTCGGTTCTTGGTCTTCCTGATATAAAATTGTTAAATAAGAAGGATAAGTTACATTAGCCCCGTAAGAATATTAACACTTAACACTGATATAAAAAAATTAAATATTGGTAAAAATCATAAAATAACCAATGGAGCCATTGTTCTTTTTAAATAAATTCATTTAATATAAAAAAAAGTATTAGTTTTATACTCACTTTTTTGAGTTTTCAAAACCGGCCTATGAAGGAAATAATCAAGATAATAGTTTATTACACATTTAAAGGAACAGTAATTGTAACGACCTGGAACTTGAAAGGAAGTAAATTTTAAATTAAGTGCGGAAGTAAAATAATAGCATTAGGGTTTATATTCCTTACACAATAATTCAAAATGCCTAATAGGGCTACGAGAATGATCATTCTAAAAGAACAACTAATAATTAAAGAAATAAATGAAGAGTAAGTAAACTGAACATCCTATTCGCAACTCTCTTATGAATCGGGATTTGGATCTTGGTCTTCTTGATCTAAAATTGTTAATGAAAGAGTGAGGTATACTAATCCAGTAAGAATGTCACACTACTCATTGATACAGAAATGAATATTGGTAAAAATCATGAAAACAACTAATGGAGCTCTTATTTTAAGTAATTTCATTTATCATAAGTAAAATCATTTATTGTACATTTACCGTAGCGAAATTTCTAAAAACTAACTTGTAGGGGCAATGGCACAAACAATCATATAATCTCATGTACAATTAACCAGAACAACAACATTTCCTTTTTACCAGCCTACTAGTATCCATAAGGGTTCATAGAGATGTCATCACTATGTGTGAACCCTTATTCAACATTTTAAATTAACTGGCCGTTCCCATACCCCGTCTAGTATGAGTGCCAAAAATACCATCCTTCAATACCCTGTCCAATATGAGGGTGAAACCGATCATCCCCATACCCCGTCCGATATGAGTGCCAAAGTACCAATCCTCTATACCCCATTCGGTATGAGGCAACGTCCACGGTAAGGTTCCCTGTGTATCATGTCCATCCACCATCTCCCAAGATTACTAGTAAGACTACCATTCATTCACTCAATTAAATAATTTCTAGTTCCATAATTTAACTGTAAATCACGCAAAATAAGCAATACATACATCAAGGAAATACAACTAAATCATCTTACCAACTCCAGCGTATTATAAAGCATTAAAAACTGTAAAATCAATCAAACAGGATAAACAGTGAATAATAATCGGTTCCGGCTCCATTAGTAACTTGTGATTAATTATCGAGATTTTCTAAATTGTACAAAATACCACATTCTTTATAATTAAACTTCAATTCTATAACAGGGAATAGGGTGAGAGATTCTTATCCAAATCAATGTTCGAACGCTAAACTTTTGCCTGCGCTTACTGACGGTCTCCGAGTTCCTTGAATTTCTCTTCAGAGATTAAAATATGCTCCAAGTACCTACAAATATCCCAAAAAATCTAAAATCAGTGTTAGAACCCTTTCTGACCAATTTCAAGATTCCATTTCGGCGGCGACGCCGCCGCTTACATCGGCAGTTTGTCTTGGGTTGGCCATTTTCGGCTAATTTTGTACTCATTCCTGCGAGAAAATACGTTAAGGAACCTCAGTTGGCGGAAAAAAATCCAAAAATAGAAGCTTACCAGTAGCAGGGTTTTTCGGTATGGCGGCTCTGCCTGTTCACCTTCGCGGTTGAGCATTTTTCTTCGGTCAACCTGTGAAAAAAAAATGGTGAATACAATGGTGAAAAAATTACACGAAACGGGAATCGAAAAGGGTCTCATCGGAGGCAGTTTTCGATTTTTTCTGTGACGACGTCGCCGGTCTTTATTTGCAGTTTTTTCCATATCCGCTGACCTTTTTGCTCCGATTTAACCATGGGGTATTCAAAATCGAATTTCGAGCGAATGAAAATTTTTTTACCTCTTGTGGCGATCGGAGGTGGCTATTTCACGACGATGGATGGCAATTGGCTACCTTCCCTGCGACCGGTTCTTCTTCTCCGGCGAGAGGAGGGGGTGTATGGCGGGTAGGGTTAGGGTTTGGTGTGAAGTGAGGTATTTATATCTATATTCTTTTAATTTGGACCGTCAATCGCGTTTAATTTGGACCGTCCATCGCGTTTAATTTGGACCGTCCGATCGCATTTAAATAGGAAGTAAATCTGGACCATTCATCACGATTTGATCTGGACCGTACGATTGCGTTTAAAGATGAAACAAATTCGGACCGTCCACACGAGCGGGAACAAATCTGGACCATCTGATCGTGGTCACGTAGATTGTTAGTGTGGCCTTCCACGTGGCACCGTGGATTGCCAGTGTGGCCGTTCGCATGGCACAACGCTAGCATGCCTTGTCACATGGCACGCTCCGGTTCGT